TGAAGAAGGCTGAGCTCCAAACTCTTTGAAGGTTTTAGGAAAGGGGTTAGCACAGGGGCTATTTACTCTGTAAGCGAAGGTGATTGTAGTTCTTGTAGCTCTGCATGAGCTCATCCCATAGTTGCAGGCAATAAACAGTGTGAAACAAAGCAAAATAAAGGTTTGCAAAGTTTCTCATGTGTTTAGCCATGCCCTCCACTAACTGCTATATGCCACCATGCCATGGTGATGGGTAGCTGAACTGACTCATTGTAATAGCTGCATGAATATTTCTGATGGCAAAGAGAGAGACCTGGTTGGTGTAATTTTTTAACTCAGGGGTGGGAGGGGCAGGAATTAGAAATCTTTGGAAGTGTTTGCTTTTCCTCAGATGCAAGGTCACGCTGCCATTCTGTGCCTTGTTCAGCCTGCTGCAAAGCGGGGCAACGTACCTTTTTCAAGTGCTTGGAGACCCACAATGGAAAAATACTTAGTAGCTGTTAACCAGGAGTTTGGTCCAGCTCCATCTCATTAAAAGCACTCAGAGGAATGCTGTTGCTTTGCCAGTCCAGCTCTCCATCCCTTCTGCTTGTGAGCCATGAGATGAGGGCAGTCCCACAAAGAAAAGAAAAGGCCATATACCCAAACATCCATCAGTAACAATTTGATTAGAGGAAGACTTTTCCCACTGCAGCCCAAGAGGCAGCTTTTCCACAGCCTGTCAGTGCATATCTTCAGAATTAAATTTGTTGGGACTTCTTTCATGTATTTTCTTGGATTTTGAGTTGAGACAGGGCAGCGATGGACTGGGAAAAGACACAAACTCTAGTTCAGCTCCTCCCTTACATATTCAGTTCGAGAAACAAAATGCTACCTGTTTTTTAGCAGTTTACAATATCTGGAGTTTATTTCACAGCGCATGAGGCTCAGTGGAAGAGGTGACTATGTAAGCCAGTACACTGTATATGCTGATGATTTTAATTTCTCTGTATGGACAGTACTCAGAGGGGATTCTTTTCTATTAGTCTGTAAAAATGCCCTATATACCTCAATAGCATTGTGAGGATGAGCAACATTTGAATGCATTTTGAGTTACTGATCTCACTGAGGCAGGAAAGGAAAAATGTAAGATGAACATCAGGTGTTTGTGATAAAGGATCTGAGACTGAACAAAAATCTCCCAGAAGAGGCAAGCTACTAACAAGATGTAAAATCAGAGCAAGTGGCCAGTGCCTTAGAATTACAATAAGACAAATGCATACACAACCCGGTAACACTCTAGTGCATGCTAGGGGATGGGATGGGTGATTTTGTCTTCTCCACTTGCTGAACTATCCGTATGAACACAGATATACAAGCTCATTCTGCTCTTGATGGGCAACAAAGTCTTCATTTTTTGGCTTGCACTGGTGCAGTGGCTTCTGTAGTGTTTTTCTTGACAGTATTTGCAAAGAGAAATCTGGGAGCAGATCCAGGCATCTGCTCATTTCAGTTTGTTTTTGTAATTAAAGAGCGAAACAAACAAACAGAGAAGATCAGATGGTGAGAATATTAGAAAAGTATTAGAAAGTGGTCCAGTGTTCTGCATCCTCCCCATGCATCTTTCTCAGGTGCCAGACTTTGCAACTCCACTACCTTCAGCCAGTCTTGGGTCCAGTTTTTCCCGTTATTCACTGACAGCGTGCTTGGCACAAAATGTAGAGAGACAAGACTCTACCCCAGGAGTCTGCAGGCTAAATCAGACCCAGACAAAATAATGTGAACGTGTGCTACTTTGGCTGCCACCAGAGTTCAGTGCAGGATGAGGTGATTTGGTCATTCCTGAAACACAAGGTGTTCCAACGTCCAGTTGCTACTGGAGATTGCCTAAGTGCAAAAATGGACAGAAGCGAGAATTACTCCTCTTTGCCCAACAGTTCTTTGGGACATTACAGGTGGTCTGACCCCAGGTTTTGGGATTTCAGTCCTGCAGCCTGATCTGGCACTGGGTTTGATCTCAGGAGGGCTTTATGGTTCAGCACCAGCCATTCCAATGGACAATTCAACTACTTGGGCTTGAGGGGCTACCTAAACAGAACAAATTGCTATTTGATTATAAACATCCTTCCACATTCAAGGATATTAAAACCCAGCTTTTTATTTCGCACCACTTCCATAGATTAGATGAGAGGCAAGAAGAAAGTAGAGCAATCACCAGACTCCAGGCCAAAAGACCTAAGCCACATCATGATGGCAAAGTCACTTCTCCAAACGTTTCCAGAGGGAACTTCACACCTAGTCTTCTGAATTCACAGTCCTGATCTCTCCTTTTGCTCAACAAATGTTCTGCTTCATGCTCACCTGGCTTCAATGAACCATACAGAATAACCATGACTAGGCTGTAGCATCCCATGAGAACTCTTGTTCTTGAATGTTCACCATTTACCAAACATACTTCATTCCCAGCCCTCTCCAAAGTGAGAAGGGGCAGGAAAGGACACAGACTTTGGTCACTTGGTCCTCCACAGAAGCCTGCTTGGCTATATCCTATGACCCTATTCACCAGTACAGGTTGGGAACTGCTCTACTGAAAGGGACTTGAGTATTACAGTGGACCTTAGGCTGAAAAAGAATAAGCAAGCAGTGTGCATTGAAGACAAGGCAAAGTACAATCTGTGCCACATTAGGAGCTTCACGGCCAGCTGATGGAGGGGAGTTATTGCCTCCACCAATTCATCACTGCTGAGGTGTCCAGTTTGGGACCATGCTGTTCAGGGGAATGTTGAAAGACAGGAGAGGGTCCAGCAGAGGCTTTATCAGGATGGGAGGAATGCACCAGTACAACCTGAGGCCAACCAGCTGGAAAGTGTCTTTGCAGAGGACTTGGGCATCCTGGTGGATGCCAAGTTGTACATGAGCCAGCAATGCACCCTTGTGAGAAAGAAGGCCAACAGCCTGTGGGGTTGCCTTAGGAGGAACATTGCCAGCAGGTTGAGGGAGGTGATCTTTTCCCTCTGCTCAGCATTGCTGAGACACATCAGGAGTGCTGTGTCCAGCAAATGCACAGAGACGTAGGAATCTTTTCTCCTAAATGTCAGTTCCCCAGCTCTTTATCCCGGAGAACTGGAAGCCTTCTGCTTTTGTCAGGAAGTATGGAGGAGTTCAATAGCTTAAGAGTTACAGCTAGTAGGGATTTGTAGTTCATTAGCCCAACAAGCAAGCTTTTGGTGTCTGGGCCGGAAAAGGCTTTGGCACTTATCAGGCAGGCTCAGAGCTGCTGTGATGCTCCCTGGACCCAGTTAGGACTGTCCCTGCAAAACATTTTCTTGTGGCCAGCAGGAACTTTCCTGAGGATCCACTTTTCACTGGAAGACTTGTGACCTAGGTAGCTTTTTCCTCTGCTTTCTACATTGCCACCAACAGCTTGGAGCATCTCACAGGTACTGGGACACCTTCAGTCCATCCTCCCAATCCCCATAAGCAGCAAAAAACATTAGTGCAGGCAGAAAGCCAGCTGCTAGAGGATGGCACATGCTTGGGGGAGCTGCATATCCAGACCCTCTTAGCAATTCAAGGCCTCCTCATTGAGACATGCAGCCCAGGCATACTGCAGTTCCTGTGAGCATTGGAAGATGTGTTTGCAGCTCCTTGTCTCCTAGCCCTTCCGCACTTGGCTCTCTGGTAGCAGGGATTTCAAACCCTCATAACTCAAGTCTTTCAGCATCATTCTCTGCTGATTCAAACTGATTTTTTTAACCTCAAAGTCCTGCTTAGCCGCTTTGAGATATTCCAGACATTTTTCAACCATTTATTTTTATTGAAACCAGCCAAGTATCTGTATATATTGGGCTTTTTTTTTATCTTTTTAATATACAAATCAGTTTAAAATAGTGTGTAAGTCAGGAATGATTTGCAAATTAAACTGTCAAACCCTGGCAGGAGTAGCAGCTGGCGCTCTTGGTTTGAAATCTCCCGGCTGCTGTTGTTGTGAGTGCAGATCTCTAGAAGATGCCACACAACCTACTTGTGCTTTCCTGGATAATTCAGCTATCCTTTGATTTTAGGAAAGTCTTACAGTTCCTGAAAATGCTGCTGCATCTAATGGGATCACCTGGCCAAGGGAAGGGATGTGATATTTTAGGAGTCAGATGCTGGGGCTATGGTTGTGCCAATACATTGGGCAAATCTTCCTGGGCAAATTAGGAATAACTTCTTTACTGGAAGAGTGGTCAGGCGTTGGAACAGGCTGCCCAGGGAAGTGGTGGAGTCACCATCACTGGAGGTTTTCAAAAGACATGTGGATGTGGCACTTCAGTATACGGTTTAGTGGGCTTGGTGGTGTTGGGTTGGTGGTTGGACTGGATGATCTTAGAGGTCTTTTCCAACCTTAATGATTCCATGATTCTATGATTCTGTGTCTTCTGGCTGCCAGCACTATTCTGCTCCCATAGCAGGGCAGGAAGAGCTTCCCATCAGGAAGAAGCTGCTCCAATGGAGGAAGGACCTGAAAGAATAAGCACCATGTTCAGGAAACAAGACTTGGTAGGAGCCCCATATTGGCCTGAGCCTCCCTGTCACAGCAGAAAATGGCCTGTGCCCTCCATGAACATCAAGGCACTCTGCTTGGATTCAGCAACCCTGTCTGGGCCATTTGCCACATGGCTGGTTCAAACATGACCATGCATAGGTCCCCTCAACTTTCCCTTCTCCTTTCCTCCCCTCAGCATGGTTCACTTCTCTGTTCTTGCTCAGACTTTAAAACCACTTTTGCACAGAGCAGAGGAAAAGAAACTTGAAGTGGGGATTGTGTGTCTTCTCCAAAACATGCATCTGGAACCCCTGGAAGACAGTAAACTCAGGTATCTTCCTAGTGATTATTGGTAACCCCATATTGACAAATGAGACGCTCAGAGTGTACAGCAATATATATAACTACAGAAGATGTACAAATATGTTGGTTAAAATGTTCTTAGGTGAGAATATTTTGAGCTCTAAGGAACCCTGACATACCCTTCAATATACCTCTTTTTCTTTTCTTCCAGATCGCTGGGAAGTCAGTGATCATGCCGACCTCCTCCACCGAACTGCCAACCCTTGACCCTATCAACTCCACTCAGCAACCCAACTCCAGCATCTACTTGTTCTCCAAGTTCATCCACCCTGACAAACAACTCTACACAGAATTTTACAGCCTGTGGATTGCCCTGATGGTAGTCAATGCCATCATCTTCCTGGTGGGTGTTGTACTGAACAGCTTGGCGCTGTATGTCTTCTGCTTCCGTACAAAGACAAAAACCACCTCTGTTATTTACACCATCAACTTGATTGTTACTGATCTCTTGGTGGGCTTTTCCTTGCCTGTCCGGATCATCATGTTCTATAGTGCAGGGGACTGCCTGAATTGTTCCTTGGTTCATATCTTTGGCTACTTTGTCAACATGTACTGCAGCATCCTCTTCTTGACATGCATCTGTGTTGACCGCTATCTGGCAATCGTACAGGTGGAGGCCTCACGTAAATGGAGGAACCCCACCTGTGCCAAGGGGATCTGCATTTTCATTTGGATCTTTGCCACTGTGGTGACTTTCTCCATCCTGACCATGGCAATACAGTTTGCTGCATGCTGCCTCCCCAAGATTCTGGTCTTGATGGTCTGTGAGTACTTCTTCCCCCTCATCATAATCATCTTCTTCACCACCAGGATTATGTGTGCTCTGTCGAAGCCCAGCCTCATGCATCAGAGTCGGGAGAGGAGAATGAGGGCTGTGCAACTCCTTATAACCGTCCTCATCATCTTCATGATCTGCTTCACTCCTTTTCACGTGCGACAGGTAGCAATCTCCATCAACCCAGACATGCCCCATGATGTCAGCCTCCTTGTCTACCATGTGACAGTGACCCTGAGTAGCCTCAACAGCTGCATGGACCCCATCGTCTACTGTTTTGTCACCAATAACTTCCAGTCAACCATGAAAAACATCTTCAGGAAAGCCGAGACAGAGCAAACCAGTGTGGACATCCTGGGTATGAACAAAAACTCCAAGGGCTCCAATGCCATCATCGCCTTCTCAAACACAATAGGAAGCCCTGTGAGCTTGCCGTCACCAAGCAGTGTCCAGATATAACCCACATCTGATGGGACATGCTGCAGTAGGCCAGTGTAACAATGCTGGACTATTGCTAGGATGCATGGTACTATTGTCTTTGACCTCTTTGGTTTTTAGGCTGAGGTTCAGAATGACAGTGATGGAATTTATTCCTCAAGAACTTTGTGGTCTTTTTAGAAAATGGCACGTGCAGTGCTCTTAGTACCAATACAAAAGAGAGTCTACTAATTACTGTTCCCAACAGGAAAGTTTTCTTTGTATTTTAATACAGACATTTTGCTAGCAACAAATTCTTTACTGTGGTTTTCTTTTCATGTTTGACGTCATAATGCAACATTACTAGGATGGCTTAGAAAGGAGGAAATCTCTGTTTTCTATGAAAGCTTTTGGGCCTTGGGCATGTGCTTAAGATTAAAGGATAAGAGGGAGATGTTTCCAGAGCTATCCACTACAAATATTTTATATGCCAATGGAGCGGGAAAGAAAGTATTCTAACGCACCTGTCACTAGTAAATACTCATTTGTTACTCTGAAAAAGTCTGAACCTTCTCAGGGAAGAGAAGATGAAGTCAAGCAGTAAAGTCCCCTCTCACTATTTCAACTATAAGAAAAAAAAACATATGGGTGCATATGTTTTCATACACATTGTCTGGGCTTGGGGAGAGGTTAAGTGTATGTTCTGCCTTCATTTGGATCACTAAATCTAAATCACTAAATTTTGGATCACTGCAGATGAGTACACAAAAAAGTTGTGAAAATGAACATGCTTTCCAGCAAACTCTGCTGTTCTGCTCTCCCTACCCGAAGAACAGCCAAGATGAAAAGCAGAACCAGACTATGATGCTATACTACTCTTGTTTGATTTTTTTCTTCCTGGCATGTTGTAAAATCAGGGCTTGTGGTCCTAATTTCCACTATCAGTCCATCCACGCAGTCACTCAAATACTGATGCTTCCAAGGACAGAAAAAGAATCCATCTCAGGCATCCAGGTTGAAATTAATCCCAGTATAAAATCACTAGGATGATTTAAGAGCCATGCTTAAAAGGTATGTGAGGCTAAGTATGCCAGAAAATTCTGTCCACAATGGTGGGTATATGTTTTAGATTACATTGTACCAATTAAACAATGGGAATACAAAAAATGATCCTAGGAAAACAGCACAATCTGCAGCCTGATCAGCAAAAACTGTTGTTACTGCTCCATGTGTCCTCACTCACATGCCTATCGCCTCTCCACCTGGAATGCTACTATGAATTCATCAAGTCTAGTGAAAGGCTTTTCCTGGCACTCACTGGTGTTACCATTCAGGGTAGCAGGATTTATGGTTGTTCCAAGCTGGGGCGTCCTAGAGTACTCTGCTTCCCCAGGGTCTGACCATGGGACAGCCACCTCCATTTCACAGGAACACAACATAACCAATGCTTCAAACTGCCTCTTGCAACGGAGTTTGCAAGAGTTTGCCTCTTGCAACACATCTATGTTTCCCCTAACCTGTTTCCCTGACAATCCAATGGCAATAAACACTGAACAGTCAACATCACTGCAATACAGGGATCTATCCAGACGTGAGTATAGCTGTCCCTAGGAGCACTGGGTGTCCCAGTTCTTGTTCTGGGCAGTGGAGTCCATGGAGAGTGATTCAGCTCATGGAAGCAGAGATCTCCCAGCTGAGTGACCCTGGCTTCCACATTGCCTAGATCTCCAGGAATATAACAGGAGCCCAGACACCACCTGCACATGCAGACACTTTAATGCATGCATCTTTCTCCAGCATCAAAGTCCCTCAAGGGAAGGACTCAGTTGCCAGTAGACCAGTGCCTAGTGCCATGGTAGGCATGATGGGGTGTCACTGCACCTCTAGCTCCTGCTGCACAAGACTGTGGTTCTCCTACAAATCCTGCATGGTCCTGATGGCCCTACCCTCAGGTATCCCAAAATGTTCACTTCTGCTTGGGCAGCTGAGTCCTGTGCCTGTTATAAAATTATGTATCATCTGAGTCTACAAACGGGCAGTGTTCAGTCGGCTAGTGCAGGGACCTGCAGGTCTCACCCAGAATGTCAGCATGACACTGTCAACTGCAGTTGGTCCATTAACTCAGCCTCTTGATCATCCTGGGGCACAGCAATTTCCACTGCTAGGTGTGTGACCTGTTCAAGGCTTTCCCAAGCAATACAGTTGATTCAGTGCCCTTCTGCTGGGAGCTCTATTCCTTTGAGGAGCATTTTCCTTCCAAGAGGTTGTGATGAGGGCCACCAACATTGTGGCACTATCCCATGGATGTAAGACTATTATCCTGGTCATTGTTTCCCATCCTAGATGTGGCCATGAACATGGTGAGCCCTCCCAAGGTCCAATTGTACTGTGTTTTCCTTCTGCCTCATCTGTTCCCTTATTAATCTGCAAATCACTGACATAGGCACCTAACAGCTGATGCCACCTTCTTGGCAGTCCCTGTTAAATGATGCATCAGCACACATGGATTAGGGTCTGACTTCTCAGCCAGATTGGCCACTTCACATTTCTGCCACTGTTTTCCACCAGCCCCCTGTTTGGAGAAAATATTTTAGGCCTCAAAGGGCTGCATTTCCCTGCAAACCCCAAAAACTCTTGCCCACCAACCCACAACACACTCTCAGACTTTTCCATGCAATCTAAGCTGTTTTTGATGAAAACATGTGTCACATATACAGAGCTGTTAACAGTACTGTCTTTTGCCAAGACTACTTCAGAGAAACAGGAGGAAAAGTGCAGGCTCAGTGCATGGCTTAGTTTAGTTTCTTTGTTCCAGCAAGCTACAGCTTCACACTTCCCTTTATTTTGCTATCAGCAGTATTTTTGCCATATACAGAAATGTCTTAACATCTTTCTCAGTGCAGTTGCTCATTTGAGGTCAGTATAAAATCTCTAAGATTATTTGCTTAGATTTTTAAGTTCCTGAACAGGGTCTCAGTTGCAGCTCTGCCTTTCTGCTGTAAACTTAACTTGTAGTAGTCTGAATTCCCTTTACTGTCAGTGTATTATTCACTCCCCATAAAAGCCACCTGAGACTGGATAATTCTCTTTCTTTGATAATGCCTACTGCCTTATCCAGAGCTTTCAGTGGTCCTTCTTCATTTTATACCAGCTCCAAAGCAGGGTCTGGTCCCTTATCAAGGACAGAGTCTCCCAAAATCGGAGAGAGGTTAAATCATTCACAAACTAGCCTATTTTTTCAGTGACTTTTTGTGCTCCCTGTTTAATCCATATTGTTTACACATCTTGCTTTCATTCAGGGTGCAGAACTTGCTAAACTTCTGTCCTATTTAAAGTCACCCATTTCTGCTCAGGGCACAAAGCTGAAAATCAGGAGCGAAAACTCAGCTAGCGTCAGAAATACCCTCCTAGATGGCACAGTTTTGGTGGGCACTGTCCACTTGCCAATTCTCATTGCTGCTGAAGCCTCCCTCAGTTCTCTGTGTTTCTGGAGACTGGAACAAGGTCTCTTACCCCTCGATCTGCACCATTCCTCTGCTCAGAGTATATCCTTGGGTTGCCTCTTAGTGATCTCCAACAGGGATTGCAATAGTTCTGTTCCTACCCCAACCTCCCCTTTCTCTGATGAGAACAGCTACACACAACGCTATAGGGAAGCCTCCAAGGTCAATGTGAGTAATGCCATGCATTATTAAATACATGAAGAGATTGCTAAGGTAAAGCACGTACAAGTCAGCTTTTGCAGGGCAGTCTTCTATGCAGAGTATTTAAAGCTTTAGATGCCAAATTCCCAATGATTTCAAATGAAATCAGGCACTTCACAGCCTTTGAGGATCTGGATCATTACCCAGAGGCTGAAATAGTAATAGGGATGGATGGGCATTGCATATCATACTACCACCACCAAATCTGCAGTAGATAGAATACAGCATTCCCTAAAGAGCTTAACAACAATAAAGAGGTCTGTAAAAAGCCCTGACCTTTCAGGGGGATTACAGCATTCATTCCTCTTTGATGTGCTGTTGTTCTCTTGTGCATCTAAAATCCTATAAAGTGAATTAAAAATATCCTCTTCTACCAGTTGCCCAGAGGCTAGCAAAAAAAGAAAAAATCATGAAAAATCTCACATGTATTTCTTGGGATCTCAGCCATACCTGTGACAAGAGATCTCTGCTAACCATGAGCTCGCCTGCCTGAGTCACAACACACAGAGGTCTGTAGTCTTTCGGCATGCCAGGGGATGGGTACCCAGGAATAAAGTTTAGCCTCTTTCTGTCCCTGCTGTGTGCCTCACCTGTGCTGCATCCAGCACAGCCCATGTTTCAAAGCACTTCTGCCTTTGCAAGGCTTTTCTATAATAGCCCAGAAACCTGTAGCAAGGCAGAGGTGCAGAACAGCCACCCCTCAGTCATACTGCAAACATATCTGGGCCCAGCAAAGCTTAAAATCTCCAATTCTGCACCAGAAAAAGATCCCCTGACTCCACATGTGGGGTTATCTCCAAGACTAGCTTCCTCCTGGGCTCTGAGCAAGCTCTGCCCTCCCTCCACAACTTTGATAACTGCAAAGAGAAAACAGCCCAGCTATATGCAAAGGCAATTTCTTCCTTCCTTGCTGTCCCTCAGACGTGTGCACAAGAGTCTCATTAGTCAGCCTAATCAGCACTAATAAGTACTGTTAGCAGGTGTAGGCTTGACTTGCAGAAAGGCTGAGGAAAGTGGAATTGCCCATGTTAGGGCTATCACCACATTAGCACTGAAGAAACACTGGCCTGCCATCCTGCCTATTCTGTATCTGTCAGCTGCCTCCTCCCAGGTGTAAGGGCAGGAGTGGCTCTGGGCAAGGATTTGGGAGGAAAAGGCAGGTCTGATCCCCACAGTTGCTCTGGGTCATGGGAAGATGAGGAAGACATTGCAGAAGAACTAGAGCCTCAGACAAAGTAATAAGAGAGGAAGGAAAGGAGGGGGAGCCAACGGGTTAAAGAAGTGGAGTTCCACAGAGAGGAGGGCTGGTGAGAACAAGGATGAGGAAGCTAATACAGG